AATTTTAATGTTATATCAATATGTATCAGTATTGATTTAATAACGATACGTAATAACCCATAAAAATCTTAATTAGTGATCATCATTATGCTGCTTGAACTATGTTTGTAATCAGATTAATAATAGACAGCCCAATGACATATCATATATCATTTTGTCATCAATAAAATGACAATGTCATAATTATGTGGTTTATTCTGATTTAAAAACACAAAAAGCCATGCGGCAGTTCGTGAAATTTTGTATTTTTAATCAAAAAATATAATTTTATAAAATAAACATTTCTCAAGAATTAATGCATGGGTATTTGTATTTTTAAAAATATTTAAATATATAAACTTCTGCTTAATTTAAAAAGTGTCCAAATATCTTGGACACCCTCTGTATCACTTCGCGTTTTTAATAAAGTCAGGTGACCCTGGGTAAAATTGCTGGTCATAATTGTTTTGAACAGTCGCGACATTCGATACGTATCAGTCCAGTTTACTACATTTCTGCGCAGTAATTTACTGCAATTGATTCTGCAAATTCTGCAAACTGAAAAACGTGCAAGATCATTATGATAATCAAATTTAAAAATCGGGTGATCAAATTTTTTAAGAAACTTATACGTACATTGTTTAGAATTTGCATAGATCATTTTTATAATGCAAGTTATAAAATCCACAACATTATTATCATTATGCAAATTATGTACACAAAACCATGTATGGATTCTGCAAATTCTGCAAATTGCAGTAGATTTCTGCAAATTCTGCAAATGCAGTAAACTGGAATACATGTATCAAAAATGAATTATTGCACTAACCCCTGGGTAACAAACATATACGTACAGTACATGTATATCATATCGATAAATTTCAAAATTTATTTATTATATGTTAACTATCTATCGCTATTTAAGATACATACATAGTCTTATTCATCATATTTTTCATTAATTCGAAAATGCTCAAGTTACTTTCCTTATAACATACCAAAGGAATATTTATGGTAAATTCTCGTTTCTATTAGTATGAGTTTTTTAAATTTCAATCAAGTTTTGCAAATCCTTTAAGCATTGATTTGAATTAGAGTTATAGTGTCAATCCAAATAATTCTGACTCCTCGTTTGTCCAAACGTCTTTGGAATAGGTAAAAAATTCGGGTTCAGTCGCTTTATCAATTGGCGTTTTCTGTTGTTGTAGCGAAGACCAAATAACATTTTCACGAGATAATGCAGCTGACAATCGATTGTATATCTCTTTTTCATTCTGAGATGTTTCTTCCCACAATTCAGCAGCGATTTTAGAAATTTTACTGGCACTTCTTACCCTCCCACTTTTTTGAATTGCCTCTTTAACCTTCATACGAAAGAGAAGAAAGGGACTGCATTTACGTTTCAAGTCTTTAAAATCATTTGGAGACGGTGCCTCATAGTATTGTTTTACTACCACTTTATCAGTAGCATCATGTTCCAGAGATACGATATTGAACATCATTAAAATAAATCGTGTTTAAAATCTTTATTTATGAGTTTGGGCAGCAAGTCTTTGAGATTTTAGATTGTAGGAGTTTTATATTTTGAGTTTGAATGTTAACTCCGGTTGCTCACTTTCGTGATCCTATTTTACGTACGTATTCACTTTTGTGTAATGTTATAGAACAAATACGTAATACGTATAGCGATAGTGACGCTCAAATGAAAATGTTGTGATACATATACACCTGAATCCATTTTTTGGTCAAATCAAATACGACACAAGAGAAGCAGATGCCTAAATCTAAACCTTAAAAAAGAGAAAATAATCATTGTTTATTCCGAAACTCTGATCACATGTGTACCTAACCAAAATGAATATTTGTGCAAGTGATACATGCCTGAAATGGGTAGTTTGGATATACGTAACGATAATAATAACGATAAGGCGTAAAACAAATCCGATACAAGCAAATGAAAAATGCAAGTAGATGCCGAAATCTAGCTCGAGTCACTAACTAAAAATGTTGGATGGGCAGATTTTACATGTATATACATGATCCTTAATCCACACTCACATGCTCTGTATCATTGGCACAAATATCGTAAAACGCCATTTAAAGCACCCGAGGTACTTTACATTCCACTTGTAATTGTGGGGGCATATTACATAGGGGTACTATGCTTAGAGGGGGATACAACTTGTGTTATATTTACATTTTTGTCAGGACTGTACACCATTTAATCTACCCAAAAATTGCTAGTAAAAAGTCAGAGGGGGAGATGAAGATATCTTGATAATGATCATAAGGAACAGGAGATACCGATACTGCATTTTGTGATACGACGCTCGGCCAGACCAATAATATTGATGATGCTATTTCTGTCTAGAAAATGTGATTCCAAAAAATCAAATCAAATGAATGTGTTTATGAATAAAGAATTCATCGGAGATGGAGCTTTTGGCGAAGGCTGAATTAAAAATCAACGACATCGTGGTGGCACTGAAATGTCAATAAATAATCGAATATTAAGCAAGAAATATACAGTTTATTAAAGAGGTAGATTTTGTTTTATCAAAAATTTACGTATTCAAATATTTGTGGCAAACAAATATCATAGAAATTATCAGTATTAGCAATAATTACAGTCTGGTAAACTGAAACTTGAATGTCGAGAACTAGAATATAGAAAACGTTCTTTGATTAAGCTAAACATTCTAACAATGAAATTAATAGAATTTTTCATTTTGTATTACAAATTACATTATCAGTGTCGTTACTTTCGTCTTTCTTAGACTGACTTTTCCTTGAAGTAGCAGATGTCACGTTTCTTTCCAAAATCTTATTTGAAGCTGGTTTGACTGTATTATCGCAACCTTGCATCAATTTTTTGTCATTTACACGATAAAACAATAAATAGCACGATATAGAGTAAAAAAGAAAGAGCAAAAGTCCGAATCAAAACGAGAATAAAAAAGGAACTTCATAAAAAGACTCAAACTGTTTGTACACTTCAAAATATACGTGAAAAAAGAAAGCTGATCATGCTAATACTCGCAGCGCACAATCACGTTTTTGCTAAGTACGAAATAATTGTGAAAGAATATTATCTTCTTCATGATTTGATAAGCTTCCCGCTTCTATCTTTGTCTGAACTTTTCTTTTCGCAGCTAATTCCTCAAGTTTTTTATCGTCCTTATCGGATATGGTTCTAGAAATTATTTAAATCTAGATCAAGCGAGCTGCGCATGCGCGAATAAATCACAAGGAAAAACTCAGAAAAGATGTGAACGTGTCGACTAAAAAAAAGGTAAAAATTGAAGTGCGTATGCTTTTCAACAACACATAGCTTGACGCGAAATAATTCCGGACTCTTTCTGTCAAAAATGTTCGCTTAAGTGCAGTGCATTGATATAAGTTCTCATCGCAACGGAATTTTTTCATTAGTTAATTACTGTTGTTGCGCAGGCTTAAAGAAAAATCATTATGCCAATATTTTGAAGCGTTCTTTTAGAAACTGCGCTGCGCTGCCACTTATAGTAATAAATCATTAGTAATAAATTTAATTCCAGCTGACAGAATAGGACGAGAAGTAATTCCTGTAAAGTTACTTTATTCCCGAATTAACAAAGAAGAATTATTTATATGCACAGTGTTCTTTTGTGCACGTGTGGTAAAATAGGCAGCAAGGCAGGTACTCGAAGCTAGAGTTGGTAAAAGTCTTAGTAAGTCCTAATAGGTCCCAAGAAAATTACTAATATAAAAATTACTAATATAAATTTTTTTTTCTTTGTAAGTTATTAATCAAACTTGTTTGAAATAGTTTGTTAATTAAAGTTACTTATGAGAAATATTCAATAAATTTTTTTCTAAAGCTTAGAATTTTAGAATTTTTAAAATCTAGAACTTAGTACTGGATCAGGTCCTAAATTTTAAAAACTCTAAAATTGTAAGCTTTAGAAAAAATTATTGATTATTTCTTATAAGTAACTTTAATTAACAACTATTTCAAACAAGAGACTAAAAACCGAATGCGATGATGAATTATTTGGTGCTGTTGAGGTGAGTACACGCAATTAAAAAAATTCTATATCTTACCGGTTCCGTAATAAATATAACAATTTATTATGCAGTTTTTCTTCATTCAAAGTTGCAGTGTATTCATCATGAATTGTTGGTCTAAGAAAGAGGTTAGGTTTATATGCAAACATGCGACCTATTGTCTCGGTCGTTTCTGATAACATACCAAATCAAAAACTCGTTATGCAACGTGGGACACCAAAAGCCATCAAGTACTGCGCCCTAGCACCAAATTTTAAATTGCAGATCTTATGATGTAATAATTGGTTTGATCAATCAGAATTCTTAAATTTGTAACATCATTTTTGGCTTTACTTATTTGTGTATATAATACAAAGCCTATGACAAATATATTTATGGATATTACACTCTAGAGTTAGAGTGAGAGTAAGATTACATGTAAAATTGCCTCTCCGACATTTTTTATTAGTACTTTAAGTTAGATTTGAACATCTATTTTCCGTATTTTTGCATTTTTTGTTTTTTGTTTTGCTGAGTTAATCAAAAATTTACACTTCCTTATCCATTTTTGGATTTGTATTAAAACATCATCAATTTTGGAGACTACTTATAAAAATAAACCAACTTCAAACTGATATAAAAAATTATTTTAATTTGTTTACACTAAATATTTTTTATAGATTATATAAATAGACCAAAGAAGAAGAAGAATAGTTTCTATAAAAAATAAAGATTTATCTAATTTTGAATATGAAATTTCAATTTGTATCAATCAAATTTTTGTGAATTACTTTTGTTGTCTCACACTGTATAAAAATTTATTCTGAAAAATGGGTATTAATATAACAATTGATACGGGCTAATGAAACTATTTTCATAATAACAAAATGTTTCTTCATCACGTTATTTATCAGACGAAAAGTACTCTAACCATGGCAAAAAAGGTCAGTTCATGTGCTGCTGATGGCACAAACCAATAAAATTCGTAAATATTTAATCAGCCTGGCAAAACAATTCTGACACCAAAAAGCAAAAAAAGTAAAAATACGGGAAATAGATGCCTATATCTAGCTTGATACACTAAAGAAAAGAGTCAGTAAGGCAATTTTATATATAATTTGACTCCAGCTCTAGCCCTAACTCTGATCCTAACCTTTAAATTAATCTTTAACAATAACCTCTCCTCTATTATCATAGAATTTTTCCGGACATATACAAATCTCACATGAACAAACACTTATTTTGCCATTGTAAAATACAAAATTTATTTAAAGATTTCAATACTTATTCTTGATGATAATATTGAATGCTCTATTATATTTTATAGCATAGCTAAGTAATTGGACTTAAAATTAATATAAAAAGTATAATCTTAGTGAACTGTCACAGTACCAACTGAATTAATTGAAATTACTCTTAAAGATTCTATAAATCTAAAATCTAATTATATTGTTATAATAGTAAAAAATCCAAAAATAGTCAAAAATAAAAACTATTTAAAAATAATATAAAACAAGTATAATGGCAAAAATAATTCATTAGATATATTCTTATCTTAATATTTTTACTCTTTTTTTTATCTTTTTTATCTGGTTATGATCAATATATTGTATGCGACATTATAATGGAGTACGACCTACGATACTAAATAATGTTCTAAATTATTCAAGATTATTATTGAAAAATGTTGGGATCCTATTCCAGAAAACAGACCAACTACTGCGGAACTTGACATTCTCTACAACTCTTTAGAAGATCCTAAAACAGATGAAGAAATTGTGGAATGTCTTAAACTAGAAAAGCAGAAATGGAAAGAACTTGAGGAGTGTCCTGAACTGGAAATGCAGAAATTAGATGAGATGAAAAGCGTTCCTACGAATATGAACAAAAAACAAGAAATCCACTCAAACGCAGTTTACACCAGTCGAATGTTTACTTCAAAATTAATTTCAATTCCAACTGACACAGGTAATTTCTATTTCTAAATATAAATCATATCGATATTATCGTTTCACGTTAGTTAAAATTTATATCGAATTTTTAGGGTTGACAAGTGTCGGTTTGTTTGTTCCAAGCGATTTCGATTTTAGTATACCACATGAAACCAAAGAGAATGAAGAGGTATCTTACAACAAAAACTAAATACACCACCACATGAAATTAAAGAGAATGCGACCAACGAGATAGATGAAATCAAACACAAAGAAAGGAGGTATCGAGTGTCTTACAACAAAAACTACAAATTCATAACGAAACACCTTCAACAAAATGTGGCTATATCAAAAGAAAAATACTGCGCTTTATTGGAAGAAAATAGCAATTACTCTATTTTATACCTGGATTATCTTTATTTTTTATCGTTATGTTTATTTGTAATTATTTACTTTATTCATATCAATATAAAAGTATGTATCGGTATATACCGATACAGTATAACGATAACAAAAACGCAGTAATGTCATTTTGTTACTTTCTT